TTGTACGTTGGGTCGTTCCCCTTAAGTGTCACTGCATACACTTCGCCGTACAAGCTTCCTGATAGTTGAATCTCGGCAGCGGCCGAGATATTCGTCGTTATGGTGCCTTTATGGCTTAGTCGGCCCCTCGCCATTCCTTTTAGCGTTGATCCACGTGTGGTCAGATTTCGACTCGTAAACTCGTAATTTCATTTTTGGTCCTATTATTAGCAAATATGGTCCACTAAGCATTCTACTTTCTGATAAAAATGATTTGTTTATCCTATATACTGTCAATATCAAATGGAACCTTTGTCAAGACCTATTTATAAGGGTAAACCCCCTTTTTTATTTTAAAAGATGCTCCGACACATGAAAAAGATCAAGCTATACAATTTTAAATTACAGAAGAATATTGAAAAACTAATTTAAAGTTGGAGTACGAAAAATAAATTATGTAGGATTTGATTATTTGATAGGATTTGTAGTCAAATTCTTTTACAAATGGATTTTCAATTTCTAGTCAAAATAAATTTCACACTATTATAAATATAGATGTTGCTAGTTATTTTTTTGTGGAGAACATTCGATACTATTGAGATTATTTTTTTGAGTATTTGTATCCTTCAGTCAATAAAAAGAAAAAAGTGAAAAAAATTAATTTGATCCTCTCAACTAGAGGTGTACATGGACCGGGTTGGTTCGATTTTTATCAAAACCAAACCAACTATATCGGTTTAGATTGGTTCGATTTTGGCAGATTTTTCGATTTTTTGTTACTTAAATATTATTTCAATTTTACTTTGTTAAATTTTTGATAAGTAAGTATATGTTTAGTAAAACTATAAAAAGTTGACAAACATATTATCTATTAAAATATTCTTATGAGAGAAGTTTCTTAGTAACACATAATAGTTATTTTTTTAGTCGTTTGACAATAATGTTTCGTTGATGTACACTTTCAAGGTTAACCGAATTTAGTAACTAAACATAAAAATCAATACGATACCTAAATAATAATAATCACTTCACATTCGAAAAAGATATAACAATTTAGTAGATCTTAACATATGATATGAATATGGAAGGACAAAGAGATTGACGCATTTAAGGTTAATAAAGACGGAGCACTTCATATACTATTAAATATCATATTCCGCAAGATAATCCCAAATATTTCTAGACATTTTTTAAAGAAAATTCTATATAAAATCTTAAAAGTATATATAAAAATTATATATTTATATGTCGGTTTGGTTCGGATTCTTTTACTCAATACCAAATCAAATCAAACCAAACCTAGTCGGGTTTATTAATCAGTTTGGTTTGACTTTTCGGTTTGGTGCGGTTTTCCGATTCTGTTTGTATACCCCTACTCTCAACTGTACTTATTCACTTGAAAGAAACTAGCGAGTTAATTATATATGTGTGATACCTAATGGCCTTAAAATCAAGTAATTACTAACCAAATTGTGCCCCTTCAAAGCAATAAATTTCCTTGTTGAAAATTCATATATGATCTGAATAGATCACTGACGTTAGTGCCAATGCAACTCCATGAAGTATACCAATTTTACACATATAAAAAAAAAAAAAATTAACCCAAATAGTCGCCTACCTTAATCTCTTAAACCGAAAAGAGTCGATAAATATATAATACTTATATAATTTTTAAATAATATATGTATAACTGTATATACCGACTAAAAAAGGTAAATATTGAATCTAACTAACTATTTGCTTAACAACATGATTAGGAAAGAATAACGCATAAAACCATTAGTACAACTTTGCCCTCAAATGTGTATGCGTGTGCGTTTGTGTAAGAAAATAATTAAAAAAATACGTCAACCAGTAACTTGCTGTCCAAGGAAAAAAGAAAAGAATATGGTAGTTGTATTTCATGATACATGCCAAACCAACAATTTTGTATAGTGAACTCCAATTTCATAAAGTAATCGAAACATCCAACTTTTTTTTTTTTCTTTCAAAAAGTACCTTTCTAAATCTTATTTTCTGAAAGTTAAATCAAAACCAAATCCAAGGTGTTACTTTAGAACGAAATGATCTTTCTCTAAATTAAAGAGTTTGTTCGAGATACAGTTTGAAAACATATGTTTTTACGGTCAGACTTCTCCACGACATCCTTATATAACAGTCATTCACTATAAAAATCAAGTTTTTCTCGAAACTAAATTTTATATTATAATATATGTCTTCTATAACAGCACTTCACAATAACAATAAAAAAATATCGGAACAAACGAGACTGTTATATAGAGAGATTTAGCAGTAAAAGGCAACAGTTTCGCATCTGTCTTTTTTCCATATGACTACAAATCCATCTTAACATCCTCATTTCTACGACGTTTATCTTGTGTATACGTTGAACCCGAGATACAAGAACTATGCTCACACAGAAATAGGATATCTGTTGAGGATTATTAACATGTTAGGGAGCTGAAAAACAACACTTGATATTGCAGCTGAAGGATATAGATGAGGTTGCTGAAGGATCTGGCACTTGTGTTTTTGTACCTAAAAGGAATTAATTCTTGACTTATTTTGCCATTTTCACAGTAAGTCAGGAAGGTTTGTCTGGAATAACAAGGTCAAACAGAGGTAAATTAATTTGTCATCATCTGGTAATGCAAACCTGATGATAAATATCTCTTGCATTACACAGTTCTTGAACTGCTGATGAAATAGATTCACACAGTAGCATCTACATTCTGAAAAATAGCACGGCAGAAGTAAACAGTTTGCCTCTATATGATCTTTACCATTCAACTCCATTGCCTTCTAAACAAAATCATGTCGATCCCAATGCCAACCCCAAGGGTGACGAGAAGCCAAAAAATCGAAGGTACCTGGCAAATGTTGCAGCTTGCTTGAAAAGTTCAAGCTTGCAACAACTTCCGGCACCAGTATTTTAGTGCTTTTTAATGCATCACACTGAATTATAGCACTAGTCATTCTTACAAACAACACTACTTTTCTAAGAAGGTCAAACAATCTCCACTGATGGCATGGTTAAGCGGCATAATCATCTAAAAATTGCGCAGTACTATCAGCACTTGGCTGAGAAGCTAGGCATGGTTATGTCTGCTCTTCAGTACATGATGAGAGAGTACCCTGGGAATGAGGAGGAGAAGATGAGGGCAGCAATTGGGAGGTTTGGCCTCACAAGTAAAGCTCAAGTAATGGCTTGAAGAACTTGTCGGATGGTCAACGTAGTGGGGTGATTTTTGCGTGGTTGGCTTACAGGCAACCTCACTTGCTGTTGCTGGAGGAGCCAACCAACCATCTTGATATCGAGACAATTGACTCACTAGCAGAGGCATTGAATGAAGGGAATGGTGGGATGGTTCTAGTCAGTCATGATTTTAGGCTCATAAACCAGGTTGCCCATGAGATATGGGTATGTGAAAATCAGGCTGTGACGCGGTGGGAGGGTGACATCATGGACTTCAAGAAACACTTGAAAAAGAGGGCCGGGTTGGGCGACTGAAGCAGATATTCTTAATGTTATATTAGAATGGGATGGTATCACTGTTTCCTCTTGGTTGTTCAGCGCCAAGGGTAACAGTGAAATATCATCAGGCCCGTCAAGGAAGCTGACGGGGAGAAAGTAAAGATTTTTCACCAGTAAGACCTAGTACTGTTAAAGCTAAGACCATGCCTAGATTATGAATCTTTGGTTATTTTTTGGGCTTAGTTCACTATTTGTATTGTCTACTTTACTCTGTTTACATATTCTGGAGAGGATTCATGGCAGCATTTTTCTTATGTTAACATCATGTTTGTTATCTGTTGCTATTTATTGTACTTCAAATTTTGGGATTCTGGAAGCTATTATGGATTTTTCAAAATAAAAGGTGAAATAATAGGTTGCCTTCTCACTGAACCCCTCCCCGGCAAAAAAATCTCACAGATATTCGTCTTTTGTTGGGGGAGGGATATCTGAAAAGAATAGAGTAGGATGGCCTGATGAGGAAAGAAAGAATGCAAGGATTGATAACATATCGTTTGAAGCTTTCAAGAACGACTAGTCCGGATGTATTTCAGAAACCTTAGCAATTGCAAATCGAAATATGACAGAAGTTGAGATGAATTTTACTTAGTTGTTCTAAGAAAATAATTTGAATGGAGATATGCAAATAAACAGTTCTCAACAAATATGATGGTAAAAGGTTCTATTATGTACTCTATAAATAAAAGATCACATTTATACTAGACGATGCTTACCTCATATAACATCATAAGGCGTTCAATACGAAACTGACAAAAGCTCCATCGTGCAAAAGCTGACTTCAGCCAATGAATTCACATATCTCCTTACTTCATTCTTCAAGAAGTGTCGATACACAGATGACAACACTGACCAAACGAGTTGGATTTCCTGAAGAGACTGACCAAACAAGATAGGAACTTTACAGTCCCAAACTATCACTAGTTATTAGAACTTTTTATGAGAATGGGAGATTGTATTTAAATCTTAATACTGTGTAATTGAAAGAGATGTACCAATATAAATCAACCATATTGCCGAACCTAACCTTCCCTGTTGCCAATAAATGAAAAAATAGGGAACAAATAACAAGCTTTATAACAACCCAGTAGAATCCCACTAGTGGGGTCTAGGGAGGGTAAAGTGTACGCAAACCTTACCCCTACCCCGGAGGGATAGAGAGGCTGTTTCCGGGAGACCCTCGACTCAGAGACCAAGCTTTAATGGTACTGTTTTACTTTATTTTGCAGCCACTAAATCTACAGTATCACTCAATACCTCAAACATCCAGAGAAATGTGGGGTGGGGGTTGGGGGGGGGGGGGGGGGATCTGAGCAATCTCAGGTCTTTTATTGCTCTCCTGTGTATATCTGCTCTTATTCTTCCCAGAGGCTCAAGATTGTTCCATATATTTTAAAAGCCTTTTCACAAACATGACATTTATGGAATGATATGAAGAATTTATTAGAAACCATATAAAACATGTGAAACAACAGGACACACCAAGAGATAGAAAAGAAGATCCACAGGCAGAGAAATGATGTTTCCAAAGTTTAACTTTCTATATCAAACTTAGAAATTCATAGAATAAACTGTTACAAAAATAAAATCAATCTTCATATGATCCATGAACAAAAGTGGAATTAACAAACACCTAAGCAAGGTATGTACCGTTTTCACTTAGTTATCTACCCTCGGACTTGACCAATTGCGAGAAAACCCTACTCATGGAAACACCAGAGAGATCATCCAAATTTGGTGATTCGATCCGAGCAGCAGAAGCACCAGCATCAACATGACTGAAGTCATTGACTTGCGGAGAGAGCTCGCCGATAAGGATGGTACTGTTTTCTTCAGGATCATCTTGAATGACAGCCTCTTGAAGTTGAAGTGCATACTCCAGATTCCAAAGCACGTCACCCATTGATGGTCTGTCAACACCAAAATCAGCTAAACATTTCTCCGCCGTTTCTCCAAACTTCCTAAGGGAATCAGGTCTTATCTTGCCTTTAAGATTGGGATCTATGATTTGTTCCAATTGTCCTTTCTTCTGCCACTTCATAGCCCATTCAGCTAAGTTGACCATCTCCCTCGGAAGAGATGGATCTATGACAGGCCTAGCACAAAGAACTTCAAATAAAACAACACCAAAAGAATAAACATCAGATTTTTCTGTGAGCTGTTGCCTTCTAAAATATTCAGGATCTAGGTAGCCAAAGCTTCCTTTTACGGCCGTGCTAACATGGGTTTGATCAAGCTCAGGCCCTGTCTTTGATAGACCAAAATCAGCAACTTTTGCCATAAAACTCTCGTCGAGCAATATGTTTGCAGACTTGACATCGCGATGTATAACAGCTTTAGCGTAACCAGTATGAAGGTAGTGCAGACCTCTGGCTGACCCGATGCATATCTCCAGCCTTTGCTTCCAGCTCATACTCGGGAGATCTGAACCATACAAATGGCTCTTGAGGGTCCCATTCTCCATGTACTCATAAACTAGAATCATCTCACTTTTTTCATCACAGTATCCCATCAATGAAACCAGATGCCGATGGCGGAACTGTGAAAGCATCTCAATTTCCGTTCGGAACTCTGCAAGACCTTGTTGGGACTTGGGATTACCCCTTTTCACGGCCACCTTAGTGCCATCACACAAAACACCCCTGTATACCTTCCCAAAGCCACCTATTCCAATGACCAAACTCTCGTCGAAGTTGCTAGTTGCTTCCAGCAAAGCTGGAAACGGAACGCGATAACTCAAGTTTGAAGCAGCACTTATGGTTGTTCCGTTTGAATACTTGCTTCCCATGGTGTGTGAATTGCCACCATTAACAGATAACGGAATCCATATTTTTGACTGGGCAAGCTGTTCCTGCTTTTTCCTTCTATGCATGCAAAATAAGATGCCAACCATCAGCAAAATAAGTGGTACGGCTACACTCACACCCACGATCACTCCGACATTCTTCTTTGCCCTTGAACTAGGGGTAGTAGGAACAGAAGCTACCTGAGTAAGGCTGCCCTGAGAATTATTCAACTTCAGAAGTTCCAGTCCATTTAGAAAGGCATCAGGAAAAAGACTCCTAGGGGACGGGCCAACACTAATGTTAAGCCTGTTACTTCTAGCGGGTGGAGTAACATAATCGTTGAAAGAAGCTGTGGCTAAAAAGCCCTGAACTTTCTGACCAGGATCAAAATCATTAGCCACGTTCCAGGAGTTGACATAAATGTTAAATAGCAGCTGATTGGCAGCTGTACTCACTATGTCACAGAAGTGTAGTCGAATGAAATATTGGAAGCCAGGTTCCACATCGAACGTCCAGGTCACATTAAAATTAGCATTCGGATCATTACCAGTATCAGCCACATTCATCTTACTACAAGTACCATAAACTGTCTGTGGTGCAATATCTGGTGTTACTCCATCCTGTGGATATTTCACAGAAGCAATCTTATTTACCGACTTAGCAGAACTCGCCTCTGTCAAGAAACTTTGATCAGTAACCCATGTTCTCCAAAGTGTATCATTATCAAATGACACCAGCGATCCGCCCATGTTTACCCTTGCAACTGTTTCAAGAGCCTGCGCATACATACCACTGAACGTCCCCGCTGGACTAATGGTGGAGGCATCATCAGTAATAAGAATATCAGGTATAGAGACAACTTCCAGAGCATTTATATATGCAAACGAATAGCTCAAAGGAGAGATCGTGATCACAAGGTCCCTCGAGGTCACGTTAACAGAAAATTCTTTGACAGTAACATTTTTGGGAGTGAAATCACCAAGAAGAACATTCTGTTGAGTGGAAACAGAGAAAGTTGCTTTGCTCATATCATATTCTTGGTAAACAAACGGATAAAAATAAAGGCGGATCCAATGCCTCCCGACTTGACTGATTGGGAATTTATAGCTAGATTGTTGAGTGAAAATTCTAGCAGTTTGATAAAGAGGTGAATCATCAGCTTTTGTAATAGAATTTGAAGAGGTATCAGCCAATATATTTTGTGAAGTTGAAAGAAACTTAGCAGCTGATTTATCAGCCATAAAAACCCTATTACCAACATTAGTATCCTTATTTGATCCACAATCTATTAAGAAATTATCAGCAGGATCAAAACCAGAAACACACAAAACTCCCAACACCAATAAAAACAAACTCTTCACTAACAATCCAAAATCCCAAGATTCCTTCATCATTCAAATCCCAAAAAAAAGACACAAACTTTGACCTAAAAACCAACAGTTCTTGAAAAGTAACAGTAACACAAAGAACTAAATATCACCTATTTCACCCTATAAGCTAAAGAAACAGCAGCAGAAGGGTAAAGATGTCACCTTTTTTAATCAAAACAGCTCCAAGATTGAGAAACAAAAGAACCCCAGATCAGTACTGAACAAATTGAAATCAAATTAGCAGAAATTTTCTTGAGGGGTACCAAAGAACATATTTTTCAGATACAAAGAAGAAAAGAAGATTTTTTTTTTTTTTGGTACATTTAACAGCCTAAACCTAGCTAAGAACAGGCAGGTTAGATGCTTTAGCTGAATAGACTACCCCAGATACAAACAAAATAATAGAATTTTAAATAAAGAAAATAAAACTTTTTTTTTGCTCAATAATATAGAAATTATCTTGAGTGTGAACTAGCAATTCATGGAGTCAAAGGGCCATGTTATATGCACTGTTTTGTTTTGTGCAATTTTTTTTGGGGGGGGGGGGGGGGGTGTTGGGGTTGGTTTGACCTCTTCTGAAGAGTAAAGAGTAGCACTTTCATGGACAGTGAAGAGGAGAGAGAAAATAAGGTGCATAAGTGTGAAACAGTAACAGACGATATTTATTCACAGGAGTAAAGAGTTATGGAGGAGTGTAATAAAATACAAATAGTAATAAAGAAGATAGCTCAATTAGTGGAGCAATTCCCTCTTTATTTAATTTTTTAAAAAATTAAAAAACAAAAATCAATCTTTAGGGTGTATTTGTTATGAGGTTTTAGAAAACATTTTTTAATTTTTTAATGTGGTTGGTCGACTTCGCTGATGGAAGTAGGGAAATAAGTTTCATAAATAACATTTCGAATTAATTCCCCAAATAATCATTCAACTTAATGAATTTATCTAGTAATTTTTTAAGACAAAAAAGTCTTTATACGGTCGAAATCAGGTACGCCTCGATTTTGTGGGCTCGAGAAGTTGCTTCGAGAATAAGCTCAAGACTAACCTGGCTCCAGCCCGATGGCGGAGTATAGAACTTGAGGATCGAAGTGCTCGATGAAAACCAAGGTCGAGTATGACCAAACTCGAGTAAGGCATGATAACGGAATGACGAGATATTAGCAAACAACCGAAGGTCTCGGCGGGAATCACGGAATAGATCATACCAAGCGGTTATCGCCGCCAATCACGAGATTTATTTCCGTAATTAGAAGTGTACCTTATTTAGGATTCCCCTATTATATAAAGGGGAGCCAATTCATTTGTAAGAGATGTTTTTTGACCGATAGGATAATACATATACTTTATTCTCTAGCTATTCTATTCATTGTTCATCAGAGTTGCTTTGTACTCTCTCCGGTCCAAAATAAGTGATTTTTTGGCCTTTTTCTTGTGGTCCAAAATAAGTGATTTTTCCAGATTTCAAGAATGAATTAATTATTTTTTTCCTACATTGTCCTTGAAGTAAATGGTGTTGGAATATGTGTTAAAGGTGTTTATGTGAGATAGTAAAGGTTAATATGGTTAATTCTATTGCTAATTAATGCTAAAAGGTGGATTTCTTAATTTGTGTGAAAACATCTAAAAAATCACTTATTTTGGACCGGAGGGAGTAACTTGCTATTCATGCTATTCCACCTCGAGGTTGTCATAGCCCGAGGCCGAGATTGGGTTTGCGCACTGGTTTGACTTATTTTATTCTTCAATTTATATATTTAATTCCTTATTTATCAATTGGTATTGGATTAAATCACATATCCTTAAAACACAATATAAGTTTAATTGTTACTCGGATTTTTGGGTAAACAAAGTCACTAAACTATTTATTTACTTCTCCAAAAGTCATACACCACCATAAAAACCACTTTTATAGAAAAGATAATTTTATCCATGTCAATACATCTGCAATGTTATATAAAATTATTAAATTAATTTGTTTGAGTTATATAAAATTATATAGGACTTTAAAATAAAATAAAAACAATACAATAGGACTCATCAGATGCTTCAGTTGAATTATTTTTCAGATTTATTGTATAAAATTAAAGCATTTGTCCAGTTAAAAAAGCTCTTAAGGTACATAAATTTTTTGTAAGAAGACTAACGGTGAAAGAAATTACAACTAAGGCCTCATTTGTTTGCACTTGACGGAGGTCTGAATCTTAATCATTCAGATCTCAGACATTAAGTGCGTTTGTTTTTAAAGTCTGGATCTTAATTATTCAGATCTTAATCATTAAGTGTGTTTGTTTTTTTACTTAACAACCACTTAATGGGTCTGAATAGGTCTGTATGATTAAGATCTGTAACAGAGACTAAATTTCATTAAGATGCTATCATATATTCATTATTAACTACCGCCACCGCTTACCATTATCAACTACCACCATGCCGCCGCCACCACCATACTCAACCACCACCTCCACCACCACCATGCCACCATCATCCTTAATTATAGCCGCCACCATTATTGACCATCACCACCCACTATCCCCACCACTCCGACCACCATCATTCTCACCCACGATCAACACTCATTCACCTCAACTACCACAACTGACCACCCCATCACCATCAACAACCACAACCGGCACTGTCTGTCATTATAACCTACCGCCACCCGCTCACCACCTTTCTCAGTCACAACTCCTACCACCACCCGCCAGTATTAACTATCACCACCCACCACCACCTATCACAATCGCCACCATTACCAATCACTACTAGCTACTAGCATGAACCACCACCATCAACCAAAACTACCACCAACCATCGCCTCTAGTCGGCATTCACCCGTTAGCCATCACCACCAACAACTATCATATTATAAAAAATATATATATTTTATTGATAGAATATTAGATTAGTTAATATTTTATTTGAATTTTATGTTTATTAATTTTCAAATAAAGATAAATCTTTTACCTTCAGATATTAAAAATCAAACAGTCTTAATCATTTAGTATTCGGATCTTAATACACATCTAAATATATTCAGATGTGTATTCAGATTCAAATGTCTTTATCTTAATATACATCTTGATATTCAGATGTGTATTCAGATTCAAACGTCTTAATCTTAAAAAAAATAAGGCCTAAGAGTCAAATCGGTAAAATTAAATTTAGTTGTAGTAAAATATTAATTCAATTCTTTAAACTTTACATAGCCACTATCAATATTGTATGACAACTTTTAACATTGTGTATTTATTGATATGGGGAAAAATATCTTTTCCTGTAAAAAAATAAGTGGCTTTTATGGGGCGTATGACTTTTAGAGAAACAAATGAGTAGTTTAGTGACTTTCTTATCCTAAAACAAATAAAAGTGATTTTACTAGGTAAATTTATCAAGTTGAGCGACCATTTAGGGAATTAACTCTATTTCAAGTTGATTGTCTCATCCCCACCTTCAACCCCGACCCATGTCCCCAGACCCCAGACCCCAGCCTCAGCCCCGTCGAGGGCGAAGCTAGGTGGGCAGCAGGGGATTCAACCTAACCCCTTTCACCGAAATTATATTATACATATAGGGTTAAGAAAACACACACACACACACACACACACACACATATATATATATATATATATATATATATATATATATATATATATAAATTAGTTGTTGAATTCCCTTAACTTCTTTGAGTGTTTACTTTTTTTATTTTTTGAATCTCCTTAATGAAAATCCTACTTTCACCGCTGACCCTGATATCTTATCTCACCTCAGCCCACCTCACCCCTATACCCCTCACCCAGTCCCGATTGACACCCCAACCCCCGTCACCCCGCCCCCCTTAACCCCTCAATTTAGTCATTATTTGTTTTTAAAGAAAACATTTTTCGTAAATTTTTCTATAACATACACACCTAATTATGTTATTTTATCCTATTTGTTTCTCTTAGAAAAATATGAGTTAAGTTTGATTGATGATTGGATTAAAATGATATTAGTTAAATGTCTTATGTATCCTTCCAACTATATTGAAAGCATCAAGGCAATTGGACTATTACATAACCTTATTATAATTTTATGCATGTGCCATACCTAACTTTTTTCTATATCCTTCCAATTTTATTGAACCACTTTGATGAGACAATACTTAATTTTGACGTACTAATCTTTGCTAATTTTGTGTTAACAAGTGGGTCAAGTCTTTTCATTTACTATCCTGTAAAAGTGCCTTTCGCTTGACTAAATCAATTTACTTATCACGAATGTCTTAAAAGGCGGGCCATGACGCTAGGCGTTTTACCTTTGACGAGGCGAGGTATAAACCCTGAGACATGGGACGTAAGTCCCACGGATCTTTAAATTTTACTAATTTCAAGAATTTTAAGATAGTATAAAATAAAATAAAAAATAATTATAAAAATTACATTAAAATCATAAAATTTTAACAGATAATTTATTTAAAATATTTATAAATTATAACTCAACGATGAATAATACGAAACCTATGACATATATCATAATATGCAAATTAGCTACAACGTCGTTACAATTCAAACATCAAAAGTAATGTATTAGATATGAAATCTTATATGTATCTCTTAAGGAGTAATGAATCTTGAAAGAATTTCGATATTATAATTTTATATTTCTTAAAATACTACTTTTATTTAATATGCTTTCTATTTGAAAGAGAATTTATATAAAAACATAATTCACAATTAAATATGATTCTCTAGCATCATTTATTTTTAAGTTTCAACAAGTTAATAAAGTGACACATAATTCACCATACAATACCATGATAACTAATTATTTGTAAATAGTTACTAGCTAATACTGAGCTATTAAATTAATAAGTATTGTATCTCGTAAACGTAAAAAAAAAAATATATATATATATATATATATATATATATATATATAATTATAAAAAAAATTATGGACTATTATATAGTAAAGACGTAACAAAAGTTAATAAATAAATACTTTTTTAAATGAAAGATTTATTTAAAATTAACTATCATATCAGTCTTAGTGGATAACGTGTAATAATTTTTTGTAACGACCTGACTGGTCGTTTTACCTTTTAGAACACCGTTCCCTTAACTAAAACTTTCCGTGCTTGCTTTAGCTAATTTATGACTTGCGGGGACGGTTGCTCGGGAGTTAGAAGAGTTTTGAGTGAAATATGTCCAATTGTTTCTTTAGGATTCTCATAAAAGACCAAGTTTGACTTCTGTCAGGATTCGTGATTTGACGGTCTCGGAGGGTCCGTGGGAAAATATGGACCTGGGCGTATGTTCGGAATCGAATTCCGAGGTCCCTAGCCCGAGTAATGAAATTTTATTAGAAATTGTTAAATTGAAGTTTCAAAGAATTAAAGAAACTTAGAAATCATTGATTTCCTAAGTATCGGGCTCGTATCTTGGTTCCGAAGCTTGGTACAGGTCCGAAATGTCGTTTAAGACTTGCCCGTAAAATTTGGTGTCAATCCGAGTAGTTTAAG